CTCACAAGCACTGATGGCACTGTTCACACAGATGAGATCCATCAAAACATGCATTTGAGGCATCTCGCTCAGCAGGTGAAGTGCCCTCTGCCACTGGAGCCCTTTCTCAAACGTGCTGATGAGACTGCTGCATGTGACTGCATTGGGCATGACCTGCACCGCAACCATCGACGCAAAGAGAGATAGCGCAATGTCCCAGTGACCCTTGGGCTCGAGTGAACTAAGCGTGCTGCTGTAGCTGATGACATTGGCTGCTGGCATGTTGCTCAAGATCGCGAGAGCAGCTTTCCACTGCCCGGCTTTTTCGCAGACGGTGATAGTACTATTAAAGCTGATGGTGTCAGCGACAACCTTTGTCGTCGGCATTCCGGACAACAGTTCTACAGCGGTCTGCCAGCGATGCTGCTGCCCACAGGCACTGATTGCACCACTATAGCTGAGCACGTTAGGTAAAAGCTTTGCCTCATAGATAGCTGCCATCGTTCGCAAGGCCATCTGCCACTCACCGCTACGTGCACATGCAAGTATCAGACTGCTGTATGTGATAACGTCTGGAAATATCATCGCCAGCTGCATGTCTGTCATGGCTAGCTGGAGAGCAGTCTGCCATTGCCCGCCTTTCTCACATGCACTCAGTGAACTGTTGTATGTAATTACGTCAGGGATGATGCTCGCTTGCACCATGTCTTCTAGAAGCTGAACAGCTACTTCCCATTCTCCGGCCTTCTCAGAGGAACTTATCATGCTGTTAAAGCAAATCACGTCTGGACGAGATGTCTCTTGCATGCCCGACAGGAGTTGCAGTGCGATTTCCCACTGTGAGCCGCGCTCACAAGCAGCAATGGCGCTGCTGCAAACAATCACGTTCGGCACCACACTGTGCGAGGCCATGTCTTCGAGAGCCTTGAGAGCAAGCTCCCAGCGTCCAGCACCCCGACACGCGGCGATGGCACCACCATAAGTGATAGCATCTGCACAAATCTCATGTTCAGACATATCTTGCAGCAGTTCCAAGACCAGCATCCAAGTGTTCCCCTGTCGGCACTGCGCAATTACGGCGTTGTAGTGGAAGACTGAGGTCTGAATTCTCTTGATGCGCATCTCCTGCAACACGGCAGCCAAAGCACTGGGCTTCAGAGAAGAATGGCGCAGAAACCGCACTGCAGCTTTCGGCGCATCCCTCCAGGAGTCCAGGTCTTCTGTGCACTGGGATGGCATGAACCTTTGAGGTGCGGGTGGCTCATAAGCACGAAGGCTGACGGTCAGCATGGCCAACGCACGAAGAGAAGGCTAAGATGGCGGCATGACCCCAAAGAAGCTCAACCCAGGCTGGCAGAGGGCCCGGAAGGCAAAGCCACTACGAAGGGTATTCCATGGACTGCACCCGCCCGATGCCCGTGCCAAAGATCGAAGGAACTCCACTACCGCTCCTAGCGTCATCAGACTCATGCCTCTCATTCTTTTCCGTTCATACTGGCCAGGCATGGCATAAGGGCCAGAGCCCAAAAAAGAGTACTAAAAGGTGTCTTAACGGCCGAGCGATTCCGCTGCAGCCCGGCTCATGAAGAAGCACGGGCATTCTGTGACACAGAAGGCCAAGCACTGGCAGCACTCTGACAGACTTGAGTTCTTTGTGACTTGGAGGCCTAAGGACGTGACTCACGTGCAGCTTGCGCACAGCTTCTTACTGTCGGGACTTGAACTTGTCTACTGATGAAACATGCTGTACGTTGCTGGTGCTCACAGCTCGAGATGTCCGCTTCATCTGCGTTCGCACAGACAATAAGCACAATTGTGCAGTTGATCTAGGACCTTCGCAGCAGTCTTGTGAAGCAAAGCCGTTTCACAAGCCATGACAGCACTGCTGTGGCTCAGCACATCTGGCATAACTCTTACGTCTGGCATGCCTGCATGAAGTTGCATGGCATCCCGCCAGTGGAAGGATGCCATGCAAGCGCTCATCGCACTGTTAGAACTGACAATGCACGGCACAGCAGAGACTGAGTGCTCGGATGCATATAAGCTCAATGCGAATTGCCAGCTTCCTGCTTCCGCACAGGCTCTGATGAGGGTGCTGCCACTGACTGCGTTTGGGAGCACTGTTGACGCACACATCTTCAAACACAGGCCGAGGGCTGCTTTCCACCGCCCTCCGACCTCGAAGGAAGCCATCGCACTACTGTAGCTTATGACATTCAGCTGCAGGTCTCTCGAGGCGATATGTTTAAGCATCGCCAAGGAATGCTGCCAGCACTCGCCCCTTGAGAGCGCGCTGATGGTGCTGTTGTATGTGATTGTATCTGGCATCGTCGACCAGGTATCCATTAGCATCAGAACTTGTAATGCAGCTTGCCATGTCCTTTCGCAAGCGCTGATGGTGCTGTTGAATGTAACGACACTAGGCCTCAGTCTTGCTGCAACTAGGTCCAACAGTAGGCGAACTGCCATTTCCCACCGTTTTCCTTTCTCACACGCAGCAATTACGCTGTTGTAAGCGATCACATCTGGCACTACTCGCACCAGGGGCATCGCAGCGAGCAGTGCGACCGCCGCCTGCCACTGGTCCTTCATAGCACCGCTGAAGCTTATGACATCCGGCTCTACGCGGCAATACGGGAGCGCAACATAGAGGAGGTTGAGGGCAAGCTGCCATTCTCCTGCTGTCATACAGCTAATCGCAGCGTTGTAGCTGATTACATCCAAGCGTAGTTCCGAACGTTGCATGTCAGTCAGCAGATCAACCGCCGCCTGCCACTGCCCAGATTTCTCACAGGTGGCAACCGTGCTGTTGTAGCTTATAAGATTTGGCGCCAACTGGGCAGACGGCATCTTGGTCAATACTTGGCAAGCCGTCTGCCATGCCTGTCCTGTCTGGCACGCATTGATTGCACTATTGTAGGAGATCCGGTCTGGGAGAGAGGCAGAGTCTGTGCCCGGCATTCCTATCAACACCTGGATTGCCGCCTGCCAATGTTCGCCTTTGTCCAAAGCAGTGATAAGGCTACTCCGACTGATGACATTTGGCCTGACAGCAAACAAAGGCATGCTGTCAAAGACCTGCAGAGCCATGTGCCACCGGCTCGTCCTTTCTAGCGTTGTGATCGCGCTGGTGCACAGGACTACGTCGGGAGACATCCGCAGAAGACTAAGATCCCAGAATAACAGAAGAACTGTTGGCCAGGCTCGTGCGTCGCGTCTGCACTGTGAAATCGCAGCAGTGCAGTGCACAAGCGAGACTTCAGGTTTGTCGCTGTGCATCTTGCGTAGCACTGTCGGTAGTAATTCCCCACCATGCCCACCGAGTTGCCTGCAGCCGTATACCTTCTCTTGCGAACAAGCTGGGCTTGGGAGTTGGTTGCGCACAGGAAGCCCATGCTGGAGGCTCATGTCAGATGATGCTAAACCAGCAGGAAGCGAGTTCAGGGACGGAGAGACGAAACCCTGCAGGAGCCAGGGGCTTGCAAGATGTTGGAAGGAATGTCAGCAAGTGTGCAAGAAGACTGGTTGAAACCGCGTGTATCTCTAGCGGAGTCACGCGTTACCCGGAGCTGAGATTTACAGCATGACGTGTGGATCTGAGTCCTCTGCTCTGCCATGCTACGAATGAAAGGATGAAAGAACTAGAATTGTTTGCACGTTTGTGCCAAGGGTACATTCAGGAAGCCTTGTGTTCCGGTGATAAACAAGCTCACAAGGAGGTCCCAACTTTCCCTACAAGTTTCCCCCTAAATGACACAGTCACAACTCCGATATGCCTTTCCGAAACAAGGAATCCCTCATCGCTGCTGCGCTTGATTGAAAAAGTGCGACACCTCCTTCGCTTCGCAATGTGCATGTATGTGTGTGTGTGTGCGTGTTTCTGCTGAAGAGGGAGGGGGTTAAAGCGGTATGAAGTTCCAGTTCGGCGGGCTGTCGTCGCTCGTCGAAACCTAGCTGTCGGTCTAGGATTTAGCATGTTAGTATGAAGCAAGAGACTGGAATGCAAAGAACCCACCATTCATGGCATATCGAAGCTTGCTCTACACACGTTTTCGGACCCCAGTCTACAAGTGTCTGTGAATCTGCGGCTCACAGCTCGCACTGCTTTTGGTCTATTGCAAACTACTACTTGTCATGAGTCATCGCACAGCAGCTTCTGCTGTGAGGCCAAGCCATCCATCCACGCTGAGGCCTGGCAGAGCCATGGTATGAGTACCATTGCAGAATGCTTGAGGGTCTCGAGGAAGAACTGACGGTGCACATCCGAATCATCAAATCGTCCTACATAGCTGAAGGGGCTAAAGGAGTCGGGGGTGGTCTGCAATAGCAGTCCTTCGGCATCTGTGCCAACAGCCTCTTCTCGCGCAAGCTGTCGCCGGCCTTGCAAGATCCAGTGACTATGGAGTGCGTAACGTGCTAAACGCAGCCGGCATCCCGGAACAGCATAAGATCCTCAGACCAAGCCTCCAAAGCACTGTTGATTCTGATGCCATTGGTAGAGGGACGTCTTTCAGCATGTGCCATGTGTGGGCCCACTCTCAATGAGCGACCATCACAACCAGTTCGCTCAGCTGTGACTGTCATCGCTGGATGGCCAAATGACAGGCATGGTTTCACTCTCCGGCATTGCTGTTGGCTGCAGCAGGGCTGACCTGCGGAGCATGATGGAGCATGGAGCCCATCCGATCGTGGTGAAGTTCTGTGCCATGCCGCCGGACATGACATGCTCTGGAATGGCTCCTTACCAACATTACCAGCGCGATAGCAACAAGGATGTCCTGACACCGCACCAACTACTGAAACCGAAAACACGCGGCAACATGTAGAGCTGCGACATTCCATCCGGAGAATATGTAGATTCCAGTCACTGCTGCTTCGCTCGGGACGCGGCATCGAAGCAGCTTTACACACTGCTTCAATTGCCCCAAACACTTGCATCTAGCCAGCAATTCGCTCTGTCACCTTCAATGTCAAGCACGCTAGCTCCCTTTCGCCGTGAATTGTCGACTCTTGTTGCCTCGTCAGTCCTTAACTTTGGTCAATGCAGCATCGACAGCTTTGCACAGACCCTGGTACTTGTCCTGCAGTTGCATCAAGACTGGAATTGTGAAAACTGGCTTACCTGCGTGCTCGAACGCACTGATGGTGTCATTGAAGCTGATTGCATCGGGCTCAGTCCCTGCCCCAAGCATGTCCTCTATCAGTCGCACTGGCACGCGCCACTGATAAGCGAGTTCACATGCCTTGATGGCACTGTTGTAAGCTTCTTTTGGAGACACCTCTAAGTGTGGTATCTGAAACAACATACTTAGTGCTGCTCTCCATTTCTGCTTGCACGCACTGACGGCGGTGCTGAAGCTGATGACATTTGGGGTCACAGCATAGGATTCCATCTCTTGTAGCATCTGTAGCGTCAGCAACCACTGGCCACTGGATTCAAGGGCACTGAGTACACTGTTGTAGCATATGACATCACCCACTACTTCAGCATCCACCATTTCGTCAACAAGTTGCAGCGCTATCGTCCACTGCCCATGTTCGCATGCACTGATCGCAGCACTGTAGCTCACAACATCCGGTTCCAACCGAAGAGATGGCATCGTCGCCAGTAACCAGAGCACTGTCTGCCACTGCCGCCCCTTTTCGCAGGCAGTGAGGATGCTGTTATAGCCTGTCTCGTCCGGCGTCAACTTACTCTCAGACATGTCTGCCAACACCTGGGTCGCAATTTGCCACCGGCCGCGCTTCACGCATGTAGTGATGGCACTGTTAAACGTAATGACATTCGGGACAGCGGTCAGTGCCGGCATTTGCTGCATGAGTGCAAAAGCCACCTGCCATTCACCGCCTTTTTCACAAGCACTAATTGCACTGTTGCAGGTGATGACATCCGGAACAAGCTCATCGGCAATCATGGTCGCGAGAAGGTGAATGGCAACCTTCCAGTACCCACCCTTTTCAGAAGCGCTGATGGTGCTGCTGTAGCTGATTACATCCGGCAGACACATCCTGACGCACATGTCTGCGAAGAGACGCAGAGCCTCCTGCCATCGGCCTCCCTTCTCACACGCGCTGATGCTACTATTGAAACTAATCACATCTGGCTCCAGGCGCGATGTGCACATCTCGGCAAACAAGCTGAGCGCAACCTGCCACTCACCGAGTTTCTCACAGGCACTGATGGCACCACTAAAACTAATAACATCTGGCAAGATAGCTCTGCTTGGCATAAGCATCATCAGGTGTACCGCTCGCTGCCATTGCAAGCCTTTCTCGCAGGCACTGATGGTGCTATTGTATGCAATGACATCGGGCACAAGCTCTGCAGAATCCATCTCTGCTAGCAAACGAACCGCCAACTGCCAGAACCCGCGCTTCTCCAGTGCAGCAATGGCCATGCTGTAAGATATCACGCTTGGGCGCATGATTCCCAAAAGAATCAGAAGCCATTGCCACTGCCCGGCTCGGCGGCAAATCCGGATCGCACGGTTACAGCTCCTGTCATATGGCAGACGATCAGACTGCATGGAACTCAATACTCCAAGAGGCCCTTGCCACTGTGTCTCTCCATAAGAGCTCATTTCCCCTCTGAGGGCCAAGTGAACCGACTCTGCGAGGCACATGACGCGACCCCAGCGCACAGCCTGGAGTGGCAAAGGGTTTTTTTGGTCTGAGCCTCGAAACAGGCTTTAGGCGCAGCACCAGAGACATGAAGAGTGTCAACAGACATCCGAATTAAATATGTGGCGAAATGTCTTGGCAAAGTGATAGCATGACGCTGACGAGCGGCGCTAGCTGCTGGCTTCTGGCACCCTTAGATGCAAGACACAACTGCATGCTTCTGCTGCCGCTACACCCAAACAGACCAGAAGTTCTGGAGGATAGCTTGCGATAAAGGTTACGGGGAAGGTGGATCTGGCTGGGATTCGGCCACAACGCCCCGCACAGCCTATTGTTAGCCTAGCCTGCGCAGTGCGTTGCACTCAAGCCGTGAAAAAGCGCCTAATGAGAAATACCCCCAGGTGAAGACTCAGTGGAGACAAAGCTTCGTTTTGTTTTCCCAGTTATCACACCGTGTCCGGAACACCTCCTCACACCCTGCATCCCCTTGGATGCAATCAGCCTGCAGGTCATTTAGGAGTGACTGGACCAGCTTCGGCTGATGGGACTTCTCGCATGCATTGATTGTGCTGTTGTAGGAGATGGAAGCCAGAGAGACTCTCCATTCCCATGAGTCTCGAAGAAAATGGCACGCTAGTTTCCACTCACTGCCTCTGTCGCATGCAGCGATGATGCTGCAATACGTGATTACATTTGGCAAAGCTTGAACTCTACGCATGTAATGTAGCAGCTCTCCTGAAATATCCCATCTGCCTGCTCTTTCACATGCCGTGATGGTACTGTTGAAGGTGATGACATCAGCAGGCATGCTCGCTTGCAACATAGTTTCGAGCAGCTGTACTGCGACTGACCAACGACCCAGCACGGCACAGGCATTGATGGCACTGCTGAAGGTAATAGCATTGGGCAGTATCTGCCCCGCAGGCATATCTGCCAACAAGGAGACAGCAACTTTCCACTGCATGGCCCTTCCGCATGCTGCGATGGCGCTGCTGCACGTAGATCCATCAGGTTCCAGTAGTTTTGAATGCATTTCCAGCAGCAGAACCATGACCACTTCCCATTGCCCGCTCTTGTCGCAAACACCGATTGCACTGTTGTACGTGATCACGTTTGGCCTAAGCATGGATGCTTGCATGTCACCTAGCAACTGCAGAACAGCTTGCCAGTCACGAGAGCCTTCACATGTCGTCATGACACTGCTATAAGAAATAACATCGGGCATTGTCCTCACTACTTCCGCAGAACACAGCAAGTGAAGCCCGACATCCCATCTGGCGCCAGTCTCGCATGATGCAATAGCACTATTGTAGGTGATGATGTCTGGTTGGAGGGCGACTGCTCTCATCTCGCCCAACAGCAGGTGAGAACTCGGCCAACGGTCCGGCAAACCGCTGAGAATGGTGTTGTAGGAGACAGCGTCCAGCTGGATCTTCTCTCGCGGTGAATCCCTTAGCAGTCCAAGGCCAGATTGCCAGCCACTCGCTGTCAAGTCCCAAACGCAAGAACTCAGGCAGATGTTGTAAAGTCTCGTATCGAGGCCTTCCCCCCCACTGGAGCGGGCTGGGCCACTGAAGACCCACAAGGCTGTCGCCCAGCTCCCGCCGTCCCTGCCCTCCTTGCAGGCGCTTAGGAGTGCATTGAGGCAAAGGACATCTGCCCGGACTCCCTCCGCGAGCATCATGGAAAACAGTCGCACGGCAACTTGCCACTGAGTGCAAGCGCTGATGGCACAGCAGTAAGTTATTGCATCCGGAGAGACCTCGGCTCCTCGTACATGCCTCAAAAGGCAAAGTGCCACTTCCCATGTACGGGATTTCTCACAGGCCAGCATGGCACTGTTGAATGTGATGACGTTGGGCAGTATTTTCTTGAAACACATGTCCTCAAGAAGCTGAACCGTGATCTGCCACTTTGCGGAAGTGCTGCATGCGCGAATGGTGCTGCTATAGCTGATCACATCGGGCACCATAGCAGAGGACATGCTTCGCAAGAGCTCAAGGCCAATGTGCCACTGGAAACTGCAGGCACTAATCGTAGTGTTGTAGCTGATGACGTCCGACCGGACCTTGGAGCTCTCCATCAGCCGCAGCAAGCAGAGTGCGGAGGACCACTGTCCACCTTTTTGACAAGCACTTATGGCACTGTTGAAGCTGATCACGTTTGGCATCCCGGTCCATGCAATCAGGCTAGAGAGCAGTTCCACTGCTACCTGCCATTGGCCTGCCTTCTCTGCGGCATTCAGTGTGCTGTTGAAGGTGACAGTGTTGGGTGTGACGCTGCGGGCTGGCAGCAAGCAGAGAAGCTGCAGTGCTAGCTGCCACTGCAAGCCTCTGCCACAGGAAGCAATTGCACTGGTGTAGCTGACAACGTCCGGTGATTGAACTTGACATACCATGTCTTCTAGAATCGCGAGGGGAACTGGCCAAGAATCTGCACTTCGACACTTTCCAATTGCCAGATTGTAGTGCAAGTTGGACAGCTTGACGCTGGCATCGTTCATCTGCTGCAGCAATGGTAGCAGCTCTTTAGGATGTCCTTGGAAGTTTCGGAGAGCCTTGTGAGCGAGAGCATGCGATGTTGAGGACAGGCCTCGCGCTTGCTCCATTGTTCTCACTGCTCCATGGCCCAAGCCGGCATGGAAAAGTGTATTCCGCTGTCTGCTGGCGGAAGATCACATCGGAGCCAGTCTGGGTTCACCAGATGCAACGACGTCTCACTTTTCCGACTCCTGCGTGATGGCAGCTACTTGCTGTTTCACCGTGTTGCAGCTCCCTTTTGTGCTCGAAAGCGCTAATCGAAGAGGACATGTGCTGGCTGCTCGGCAGCTCGGTGCCAGGAGCACTTCTGGCTCCGAGGCATAGGACGTGCTCCGGCCCATTCTGGCCTCGCAAGAACCTTGAGCTGCCAAATTCTGCTCAGCTTAACGTAAGCATACAGTGCGGATAAAAAGTTGCAGTGGTCATGGCTGCACTCGCCACGGTCTGCATGCAACTACATAAAAGCTCCATCCCACAGACTAACTCATATCTTTGACGATAAATTCTTTCTACAGGATGGAGCATACTTCGTCGTCGAACGCTGTTTCTGCGAGCAGAGGCACACGACCCGTCAGCGCAATGAGAGAGCTCACTTTCTACAGGGTTTACTTGTGAACTGGCTTGAGGCTTGATGCGACAGCGTGTGCCCACGGTGAACCTCGTGGCACAGTTCGTAAAGCCGCAGCTACCGGGTCCACTCTTTACAGAACGCGCTCAAGCAGGGTGGTCGCTCTTGAAGCCCTTTGAGCAGACACCAGAATGCTGCACAAAGGAGGCAGTCACTCGTTGGCATCCGAGGACGGGTTTGATTTGCCGGCTTCCTCTGAGCTTTCCTCGGATGTACCGGTTGCTGAAACCCTGCAACGTGGCATAACGTGGCTAAACAACATTAGCCATCTGCTGCAGCGGTACTTCTGGAGCAAGCCAAGTGTCCGTTCCAACGAATCCAGAGCCCCCTGGACGAGCCTGCACTACACCCGACAGGCGACATGCGAGTTTCTGCCGCAGCGATGTTCGAGCATAGCCAAGCAGTGGCCAGCCTCGTCTGGCCAGGTGCGGCTCGCGGCCGTGGATGGGGAGACTGACATGGCAGTGACTGACATGCTAGTCCTTTTCGTCCTCGTTTCTTAAGATTGTTTTTCTTGCACAGTGGCAGCGGCCCACCAAGCCTCCTACCGCCCCACCGCGCTCAGCACTGAGTGTCATCGTCCGGCGCCATTGCCGCAAGGCATCTGCCTGTTGAAGGATTCTCTTCGAGCTTGCTGGAATGACTAGAGCGATGTTGCGCATCGATCCCAGCTGCCTCGGCGCGAAAGTCTGCACTGGAAGCCCACGAGAAAAAGAAGTCCTCGGACCTGTGCACTTCGGGGCTTTGGCATTTACAACTGTGGAACCCTGTGGAGCTCCGAAGATGTCGGAAGTTCGGGGTAAAGAGAACTTCCTGACACCGTCTTCTTGTGGCCGGGTTTGCTGCGTCTTTCTGGCTGCACAAGTTAAAAGCGCATTCGACACTTCACAAAGTAGTTGTTAGGCCTCATTCTCCCGAGCCACTACACTACTTGCCGGACCAACACTTTATCCGCAAAGCCACAGTCAGCCAAGTTCAAGCTGCTCTGCCGGCAGCCTGTAACAAAGGCGTGTCGCAAAGAGCGGGTGCCGCTCCATCATGGTGCGAGAGACACCTCACCGACACGACCCAGAACAAACTGCCAGCGTCTTCCCTGTAGGATGAGATCCTGACAGACACCGCCGCGACTCCAGGTCGCCTCGGACTGGGTCGGAGGAGTCCTGCATAGGACTGGAACAATTGAGCAGCATCTGAGTGACAAAACAGCCGCGGCCTTGGCCCCTGTGTGGCACCTGCACAGGAGAGTCCCTCCGATCCCAACGTACTCCGCTTTCGCAACTCCACCACAAGAGTGACGGGACAGAATCTGACTGCTTTTTCAGTGTTACAGTACGCCTTGCGAAGTCTCCCGGGCAGGATCGGTGAAGCTGCTCTTCTGAGAAACAGCCTCGCCGTGCTCAAGAGTTCGACGTGCGCACATGAAGGCAGGAAAGGCTTCAGATGCCTCCCTCTGCTCCTCCTTGCTGCTGGAAGCACTGCTGGAACCTGTCACTGGACGCAAGCTCTTGGTGGCGACGGGCTGACATGAAATCACGTAAGACAAAGTCTTCCAGTCGAAAGTTTCGGTCTGGCAGCTTGCCAAATCGTCTGGCCCACCCTGCATACATGGTACAGGTGGAACAACTCTGCAACAACTCGACTTGCAGCACTTCTTGCCTCAGGTGCCGCCCGGCGCCGAGGAATCAGTAAACGCCGGCCATTGAGCAAAGGGCGAGTTTCCTGACAGACAGAATGCCGAAAAGAACCCGATGCAGTCATCATCACCACCACCACCATCACCATAGCTGCGGTCAACAGCACCATCACATATGGAATCGCTAGCGGAAGCATCTTGCGGGACGTCTTCGCTTGCTTCAGATGCTTCGGGCCTCCTCAAGCCACTGCTCTGCAGGGTTGGGCAAACCTGAGATGCTTCACGATGGCTGGCAATTCATGGCGGTTACCGTATGGTTTGGGGTGAGGGCCTTGGCTTTTGTGACTGCGGGCCGTAGCTTTTTGGTGTTTACTGTTCGCCCAAGTATGCCATCGACTGGACTCAGCTTTGACCGCGCATGTCCCGGGCTATGCAAACGTCAAGTGCAGGTCGGCATCAGAGTGTCAACCCTTCCTGATGCCACATGCCGCACCAACCTGACCATGTCTCATGTCCGATGAGATCCTGGCAGCTCGCTTCTGACGGCTCCTCCGCGATCTGTGGCTCAGCGGTTTTCGCCTGAAGGAGACGACAGCAAACGAACGGATGGTACGCCGTGCTCGGCTTCGCCTTGCCGACTTCGCAGATCATGGGGAGAGGCCGCGAAGCGTCCTTCGAAGAGTTTTGAGGGTCGGGTTTTCTGCTTGCCTGTGTGAGGAATCGTTGCCGTGCGTCTCCAAGAAACTCTCCCTCTGCTGAAGACATGGTCCAGCGATGGGTTTCACAACCAGCACACCACGTTGGCTCCGACACCACTATGCGAGTCATCCGAGACCCCGAATCTCGAGAATATGTAGAATATGTAGAAGCGAAGATGGGCACATGCAAGGGAAAGCAGCACACAGCTGTGGTTCTGGATATTCTAGGAACATGGATTCCCTCTCTAAACACTTTCTCATTGGGTGCACTTGAATCTTGCCGATGCTCTGCGACAATGTTCAAAATGTAGATCAAACACTTGCCGGGTCTCGGTAGAATCTGTGGTCGAATGTGGTCGATGTGCTTGGCAAGCTACTTCTCACTAGCATCGCTGAATTCAGGGAACCGCGTTCTACGTGTGGTTGTGGAGTTGCCTGCTTCTGACACGCCCGAAAGGACAGGTCAGGGACGGCCGAACGCACGCTCGGACGAAAGTGGATGCCTCCGCAGGGCTTTGGCGGGGCCGGGCGCGTGCTGTGGCCTGAGAAAGTGAACTTCGGCCAGGAGCTGAACACGATATTCAGAGAATTCATCCAACATCTTTTAGCTTTCTTCAATCGGCACGAGACAAACGGTCTTAGCTCAAGCACGGTCGTCTTAGGTCTTCGCCACGTGCTCACCATAGCTTCCTTTCGATCGGAAGTACTTCAGCAGAGACAGAAGCACCTGCAGAAGATTCACATGCATGAGATAGCGCAGGGCCGCTTGCGGTGCTGATCTGGCAGGCATCGAAGAGCCATATGATCAGTGCCGGCTCTTAATGTATGTACAAGTGAACATACAAGCTTCAATGACTTTAGACATGCATTCAAAAAGACGGGGCAAGCACTGGCAGGTGAAAGGTTAAGCGACCTACGACACTTGATATTTGCCTCTTTCTAATGCTTACAGAAGTTTGACCAAGAGATGATCCATGCTAGAAGGCTTGATCTTCGTCTGGCACGGCTCTCTTATTGTCAGAATCTCCAAAAGCCGTGGCCAAAGTCAGAGTCCCCAGCCTCCACGGTGTCCGAGACGCGGCGCTCCATGGCCTCTCAAAAGACGTGCCAATGCAGTCTCGAGGCAATCGTGAAAGTGACGAGAGGGTATCGGCGACGCCTGGGCAGATTGCCGGACAAGATCCATGCGAGCATCTGCGATTTCCATGGCTCGGTTCACCTGTCAGCTGGGCGGGTTCAGGCTCTGCGTGAAGTATTTGGAATGGGTTTCGCAGGGCCGTCCGATACACTACAATCAAGGTAGCTTCAAAATACCCACCCGGTCAACTTGCCCAGCTCGCCTCACTTTGGACGATCTGGGCCATAGAAGTTTCAGCCTGTAGGAAGTCACGATCTTCCTGACACGAACCGAAAGCCTGGCATGCCTCCATTTCGAGCTTGTGGATCTCGGCCAGCGACCTTCAAGCATCTTCAAACCCAACCCGGCGAAAATCCGCTTCCTGGCTCCCGGGGCCGGTACCTTCCGATCCCCTGCTGCACCGAACGGAGCATTGCGTCGGAGGCGGCCTGTGGAGGCAGCGAAAAGACTCAGAGAGCATGAGCAGGTGCTTCGAGAATGCATAGGGGGCGGCCTGCTGAGCTTCAGCATCCTGCTGAAGCTGTTGCAGACGTGTCCTCGCACGCTCCTGCAGCCTGCACTCGCTGCCGGAGCCCATGGCATCTCACGCCCAGTGAGTTTGGAAGGGGCCTCTCCCAAGTCGTGGAGGTCTTGAAGCGCAAGAGGTCTGCAACTTCGACCTGGAGTGCCTTCAGAGGTCCAGGCTGCAGGGGAAGGCTTTGGAAACTGTCAAAGACGTCCCGTCGCATGGCCTCGCCAATGCGACCAATTCTCTCGGCCTGCGAGAGCTTGCATCAAGCACAGCGAGAGATGATATGCTGTGGGGCTCTGCTCAGCTGTAATTAGCTACAGTGTCTTTTGTCAAGTCATCCTGTGCTGCACCGTGCTGCAATCTCTTACAAAACCGCCTCCGAGGCGGACTTCGTCCCAGTGGCACAGGAGGACTGGCAGGATTCGACATTGCTCGACCGCCAGACAAGCTCGCCAACTTCAGATGCACAGCGCAAAGCCGAAAAAATCCCCAAGACAGGCATGCCTGATTGCAATGCATGTCAGGTAGAAACAGACACCCTGCAGCCCCAGTCCTTCAGCATGTTCAGCACAGGCTCGGAAGCATGTTGCACAGAGGCCTCCGGTCAAAAAACTGAACTCAAACATGCTAAGAAACGAGTCCAGTTAAACTCCCGACTCCAGGGTATGCCACGCCATGCGGGCGAACCAGTCAACACACCACTCGGACATTGAAAACATCCACACATGTTCGTAATGCGCGGCCAAGGATCCGTGAGCTCGGCAATTCCTTCTGTAGCAATGGCCAAGAGCTGGCCTGAATAGCTCAGCCAAGTCCCATGCATGTGCATAAAGCGTAAGTCTGACAAACGTTTCAAAAAAAACTCTCCCCCTCGCTTCTTCTTCTTCCTCTTCCAGAAGACACAGGAAGAAGGTCGGCACGCCTCCCCCGACCCGCATCACGTCTGAGTCTCTCAGGCAGTGGGTCCCGCACATTGAGAGGAACCACGCACGGCACAGCTGGGGATTAGCCGTAGCAAGCGAGTGCTTCACACCAAGATGCCTCACCACCAAGGTCCTAGTCACCTAGTCCTAGCTCAACACATCCCCTGCTGCTTTTCCCTATTCTAATTCTAGAAGTCTGGCCCTCCCTCCCTCGTCCCCTCCCTCCCACCCTCTTTCCCTCCGTATATAGTGGCTTTGAAGCATTCACTGTGTCCGAAGTCCATAAAATTCCATAAATCAACGCCCTATTGAACTTCTGCCGATGTCGTACCGAACCCTTCCCGCTATGTATGTGCAAATAGCGTATCTACATACATATATACATACACACATACATACATACATACATACATACATACATACATACATACATACATCCCTACCTACCTACCTACCTACCTACCTACCTACATGCATACATGCATGCATGCATCCATGCATACATACGTACATACAT